CAGTTCCTCGTGTTTTTATGATAGATCTGAATCCAGGTTGTCACTGGTCAGGGACTATCTAACAACAAGTTTCTTGTTTATATTTTATACTGGCCCTTATAGATGATGATATCATGGTAGTCAGGCAACTGATGCTTATCACAATGACCCCTATGAATTGATCCAACAGGTATATACTGCCGTCACCCGGTATTGAACTCGCAACCTCCTTATAGAGGTACTAGTCCTTATACCAGTACACTAAGTTCCCATAGGAACTTGAAAAACAATTACTATAAAAGAAAATTTTTAAGAAAAAAATTATGTATAGGAAAGAGTTTTTCTTTTTTTTAAATAATAAAAGATTTTCCTTTTTGTGTTATTTATTTATTTAAGTAAGAAATGGTATGAAAATTTGTTTATATACAAAAATAAATTGCAAAAAAGATCTCACAAAAGAAGAATGCTATACGATAAAAAAACTCAAAAAAGAAGAAATGTCTGCTACTAAAATTGCCCAAATAATTGGATGATCGGTGACAGCAGTCAAAAATTGCATTTGTAGGTGGAAATCAGCTAATTATATCAATTACTTCAAAAAAAAAAATAGTGCAGCTAAATCAATTATTAATAAACATCTTGAACGCCAAATTCTACATGAAATTAAATCAAACTCATCATTAAGAAAAATGACAAAACACAAACTTACTGCCGAAATTTCATGTAGAACTGAAACTCCTATGTTTATGTATACTTTAATGAAAACTCTAAAAAAAAATGGTATCAAATCTTATATTGCACATAAAAAGCCTATAATAAATGAAGTTAATCGTTTAAAGCAATTAAAATGGGCCAGAAAACACTTGAATTGAACTAAAGAAGATTGAAAATAAATTATATGGACAGATGAATCCTCTGTAAGCACTAATTATAATGAAAAAATTCAGGTTTAGTATCATAAAAATAAACTTTATAATCCAAATTGTACACAAGCAACTGTTAAAAGTGGCTGCAAGTCAATTATGGTTTGGGAATATGTTAGTGGATATAACTTGTGTTATTTAATATATGTTTCATCTCACATGAATGGAGAAGAATATGGGAATCTTGTTTTGAATATTTATTTATCCAATACTTTTAATTTCTAATGAAGGGATATTACAAGAGGACAACAATCCCATTTACAAATGTAAATTTGTGAATGATTTAAAATCCAAACTTGAAATTACATCCATAGAATGGCCACACAATCACCGGATCTTAGTCCAATTGAAAATGTATGAAGAGAAATCAAATCTTGGATTAATAAGAATAGAAAACCATATAACGAATCTAGTTTAAAAGAGGCTATTACTGTGAGATGGGAAAATATTGAATTAGACAAAATTTATAAATTTATAGATACTATGCTTAAACGTGTAAGAGAAGTAATATAAAAAAAAGATTATGCAACACATTGGTAAACTTTTTTTTAAATAATAAAAATAAAATATTAAAATTAATAATTTTTGGTCATATAAAAATCGCCTTAATGCTGTGCTACCCATCTGTACAATGAATAAGGAATGGTATATTCGGGTGCTCGAGGATATGCTTGAACACTTTTTATATGTTTCTCTGCCTTCATCTAACATGATCATGTAAGCTGCATAATAGAAGGGGAGGTGATTTAATGATAGTAATGCGTGATAATTACGTAGATATGAATTCGTTGTTTTGAATTACCTTTGGAAAAACCTTCGCATCCTTGAGTATATAACCTCCACCTTTCAAATAATTTATTAACGTCATCTGATTCATAAAATACTGGTGCATGGATTCTTGTAATTCTCTCAATTTCTCTGAAATATTTAATCATAAGAAAGAAAACCATATCTAATAGATGTGATCGAATGACGCTTACTTATATCCAACCCGCTTGACTTCATAACTTGACCTAAGATCGAACATCTTTCGGACATTGAACCGATATAATGTTTGAATTCCTTTTTCTGTGGTTTTATTCAATCTTAAGTGAAACAAAGCAATAATAGATTGATTTGATATATAAAATTTATTTGTCACAATGTACTTACATTCCACATCTAAAAACAAATCGATCCATTACATATCTCAGCACGTTTGAATTCTCACTGTCGACATCGGTGCATAGGTACCCACCGAGATCTCTGAAATTTTTTACACCTTCAACTTCCAAATACCTGGGCACCCTACTCATCCACTTGTTTCGTTCATAAAAATGATTTGCCTGAAACTCGGATGAAAAGTAATTGGAAATGATGAGTATCAATTCATTGGTGTGTTTTGTGAAATTGTGATTTCTATAATGTGAAGCGTATTATTCGGAATTAATTTCGCCAGCGCTACAGAATTCAAAAACGGGACGACCTTATGGATTGATAGATGGCCATAATATGTGAATTACAAAGGTCAATGGCCTTACGACGATAGATCGGATAATAAAAGAAAAATGTCTACCACATCGTTTGTTCCACAAATTAAAAGCACAGAGGTGATGTCCGGAATATACAGTATTTCACTACAAAAGTCAGATTTATTCCGTACTTATAAATCAGTGATTTTCCTAACGTTGGAAGGATCCAAACGTATTATACCATACGGTTCAAGTTCAAGCTCGGCAAATTTATCGAAGTCCTCTTTGGTAATTTTATGACACCTGACTTGTCCTCGATATTCAAAGTTTCAATGACCTCCTTTGGGTAGAATTCACGGACTTTTGTAAAATCGAATCAGGGGCACATTAAAACCATGTGTGGAATCTTATGGTTTTTTGTTACCGCATATATCATGGTTGCCAAGGTTCCTGGTTTTTTTGTGATAAAGCACAAAATTAGATTTTAAAATAAAATTGCCTCTGCTGATAAATGTTTCGAACTACCTTTCGAATGACTTAGAATTGCATACAACTCGAAGTCAAATGATACCAATTTCTCGACTCAATTTCATTTTTCATTTACGTCGCAATGAGTACACACCTCATAATGCGTCAAAGAAATTTCCTCATCACTTTCCCCATATCCGCGAAAATCAAACCTAAAAGAATCAAAAGGCAATTCTTCTGCAATCTTCGGATTAAACATAAAGTCCTTATGCGCTATGTAATTTTAGTAAGATCCATGGTCTAACAATAATGACAGTGATTAGAACCATAATTCTATTTCGTCCAACCAGAAAACCCATGACAAATCAATCCAATCTTTGTCTCTTGGGTTTCTATGATCTTTTCAAGTATATCAACAATGGTTTGTCCTTCTCTATTCTTGATCCTGAGTGTAATCGAATTCTTTGGTTTCCACATTTTTAAAAAAAAAGTTTTTACGTACAAGCGTATTTAACTCCGATTTTCACATTATATACGAGCAAAAAACTCCGATTAATGATCGGATAAAAGAAATGCCCACGAATGTGGTTGATTCTTTTTGAAAACGACAAAAATGTTATATACGATTTTTTGATCCCTATTTTTTGAACAATACATATACAATAT